TGTAGGCAGTATTTATAATAAAAAATTTAAGTGGTGGTTTAAAATATTTAAAAAAAGGCGACGTAATACGAGAGATGGATTGCAAGAGTCAAAATGTTGCAATATTTAAGAACTCTATACATATTCAAAGCATTTGCTTGCATAACTACATAAGATGTCTACTTTGGAAAGTCTTTTTAAAATGCAGTAATTTTTTATACAAATAATGCCATTACTTGTATGCATAATTTAAAGTTGTGCAGGCTGCTGTTAATTAGTAATGATTACTCAGGTGGAGGCAGGAATTCATATTTCAATCCTAGTAGTTGGATTGTGTATGACGTGCTTCTTTACTTTGCCCCAGAGCCAAATACAATAGAAAGTAAATGTAGTTATCTTCATTGGTATGCTGAGAAGCAGAAAGACATCCCGCTATGGCCACTGTAGGGCTTGTACGCAGCCATCTTCTCCTGCCTCAAGGCTGGGTCCTGGCAAACCAGGTTGTGCTGGGAAGAAATTAAAGTAGCCATGAGCTACAAAAAACCCCGCTTGCTAGATTCTGAAAGTTCGTTTTTCAGACTCTAGTATTGAGGAAGATGATATTCCTTCCAGGCATCTTCCATACAATACGATCTGTCCTAACCCCTAGGAGCCTTATACTGGAGCCTTGTGCTGGAAGGATGGGAGCTCACTAAATCTCAAACTTGTGTTGATGTAGAAATGCTTCCATAATTCTCCTCATCAGATTTTCTCCCTGGGTTTTCCCTGAGGTCCTTCCCCCACCCTCAGATGTGGAACCAATGTGACAGGAATCCTCAACAGCTCCACTTTTTAAAATTTTATTTCTGAATGTTGTACAGAGCACTAGGCATGTTGCAGTTTGCTGCAGCTTTCAGTACATCCAGTTCTTCCTTGTATTCCTCCCCTCTCTGTGCGCTGATCAAACCCTGCAAATATGGGCCATCTTAAGTTGATTGCACATACTGTTGTCTTCAGAGTTTGTGTGTGCCATGTTTTACCAATGTGCAGGAACACATGAGTAAAGCCCTGCTTAAAAAGAACCATACCTATAATCACATCAGAGTTGCTTCTCTCTCTCCATTCAGCTGGTTCTAGGAATATACAAATAATTATATTTCAGACCCCTTCTTAAACTCTTCTGACTGATGGATTCTATGTGACTCCAAAGCTTGCTTGTTATCTGCCTTACCTGTATTGTATCATTCAGTACATGGATCAACTGTCTGCAGCAACAGACACGTGGCTTAATTATTATGCAATAAACATAATTATTGCAAAGTATTTGCATACATTAAAAAAGACAGATGGCTGTTTTCTAGTGGCCAGTTAGGTGTCTGCTGCTTGGAATAGCTAATATGTATGGAGAATGGTCTGAGAGAATCCTTATGTACAATGACAACAGAGCCATGGTGAGAGGATAGTGGAACTGAAGCCAAAGGCAAAAATCTCATTAATCTGAATCAAGATGGATTACACCCTAAATGTCTTGATAGCAAATTACATTGGATCTTCGTTATATATCTGTGTAACACTAGAAATACATTCGTTTGTATGGTGTTGAGCGTTTGGTTATCTGAATGTTTTGATCAACCCTTTTGCCCCCAAGCAATCTAGATACGTTTAAAAAATGTATAATGCATGTATCCTTACAGATTTTTAAAAAGAATGACTACATCTAAAATAGTAATTTGGATTTAAGGTACATATCTCCACAACTATAGGCACATATTAGCTTAGAAATTGGCCAATGGAAACCACAGATCTGTCATTGTAATTTATGTAAATATCCTGTTTTAGAATAATTGTGTTTATTGCATGAAAATTAACCAGCCAATATCAATCACACTATATTGCCACCTGTTTGTTTAACAAATGGCTTTAAAATAATCCTAAAAAAACCAAGATCTTCAGTGCCTGCAGATTTTCTTTCAAATCCAGTTCTTGTTGTCGTAGTAATTAGTTTCCGAGATGATTTAATCTGCAGTAAAGCTCTTCCCTATACTTCCATTCTTGCTTATATATTAAAATTTTTCAAGTATAGTAAATGGCTGAATAATTCACATTAAGTTATTAAGAGCAACAGTAACAGCCAAGATCAGATGGTTTTGGTATAACCTTATAATGTTGTTTTTCCTTGATTGTCTTAAAGGATGAATAAAGACGAAACAAGATGATACATTCTTAAATGTTTGACAAAACCATAAGAATTTTTTTACTCCTACTTGACTCCATATAACAATGCTTTTATGGGGCTAGAAGAAGTAATTACGTAATAGGGTTGTCAACTGATTATTATTTTTTAGCTCTTTGCCCTATTTTAAACCTAATCAGCTAGTTAATTAAAATTGCACAATAAATATTACAATTTCTCAATTAGGGCAATGTATTTAGCTTTTGGATAAAAACCATCTTTGAAATCTGAAGTCCAAATAATGTGATACTTTTCATGAGAATTGTCAACCTCCTTGAACATTTTTGGTTAAGCAGCACACAAATTAAATTGTTATTGTTAACTATGGGTTGGTAGTAAGATCCAGCTTGTTAATACTGAAAAACAATGAAAGGACTCCAGACTCCGAAGTCACCAAGGTACAATTTCTACTTCAAAAGTAGTCATGAGGGGGCTGAACTTTTTCCTCCAGTGTTTCTAACTTCACAGCCACTATTTTGCCCCTCTGCTACAGCTTCAGTAACCTTATTTTTCTGTTTCAATTTTCTGAGTGATCGCAGGCAGCCATTGAACACATATTGGATGTGATGGCATCAAAATCCTATCTAACCAATCAGATTTGGCTTGTAAAAGCAAATGAAACACATAAAAATAAGTGCAATTTTTCTAGTATTGGTAACATGTATGTTCCTAGCCAATTATAAATTACTCTAAGAATCAAATTGCTTCTTGGCAATTTTACAAGTCTCTAAAGAATTGCCAAAGGGAGGCCCTTTAGATTTTGACAATGGTTTTCTCAAGCTTGCTTTACATTTCAATTTAGCACCGACTAAAATAACTCAGATTAGGGACCACCTTGCAAAATCCACAACCACTACATACATACTGCTGCAGCACGAAATTGATGAGACATGCAGATACAACATTTCAGCATCTGTGCACTCTAAAACAGCATAAAAACTCTGGTTCGTGCCCTCCCTTAACTCTGGTATAGATCTGGAAGGTTGCAGCAAGGTGAACTTCAACATTTCTGGGTCTATTGTTAGAACGCAATATTAAGATGGATCCCAACATTAAGTGGGTGTAGGATTGTAACCTCTACGCCCCTTTGACCACCTTCCCATGAAGATAACCCTTCACTTTCCTCTGTTTTGAAACAGGGGATTTCTACATCAGGAGGCAGTCAAAGGGCCACTGAGGCTGCAATCCTATATCCAGTTACTTGGGAGTAAGTCCAAATGAACTCAGTAGCACTTGCTTTGGAGTAGGTGTATAGGATTGTACTGTATATTTTGTTGTTACACTGTACAGTAGATGCCATTGTAGCACATTTTGGGATTTGGCAGTCCCAAACTCCAACTTGCAGGGCGGTCTGTAGCATATGCGCCGCTGGGGTGCAAAGATCCACCAAGCGCCCCCAAATACAGTTTATCCCCAAAATGAAGAAAAAATGCAGCTCACGGTATTCATAGTGTGTGCTCCAGGTGCGTTTTTGCGGAAATGGAAAACTAAAACCGTGTGCTGAAATGAATGTGTAGTAGAGCCCTAAGTAGTTCGTCAAAGAAAATGCCGACAATTAGCGAAAATAAACATATATTTTTTAACGATTTCTTTAAATGAATTTGAACTGTAAGTGATGAAATTAAAACACAATTTGCAATGTTCTACTTGGGGTTAGCGGCACCTTTGACACAACTGATCTTGTGCTGCCTGCCTGCCAGTCGTGTCAAAGGTGCCGCTGACCCCGCTGCCGCATAGCAGCTCAATACAATATGGAACATAATATTTTGATGTAAGAGTTAATTTTGCATGCACGGCGCTGTTGAGAATGACAAGCGCCGTCTTTGAGTCTGACAAGCACCGTCGTTGTGAATGACAAGCGCCACTGCTGGCAGGGCACATCTTTGGTAAATGAGCGCACAAAGTCGAAAGTCCTTCAGTGAAACAGTAGGTATACATTTTGGTAATACCTAGGTATATATGAATTTTGTTTTTCTAGCTTGATCAAAATTATTTATTATTTCATAACAGGTAGATAGTTAAGAGCTTAGGTGGCTTCAGTGCCGGGTGCTGGGCGCACCCCAGAATTCAGTGCCCGTGTGCCCCGCACCCCTTTCATCCCGGGTAAAGATGGCCCTGCCAACTTGTTTCTTGAGGATTCTATGACAGGAGGTGAAGGGTGTTTTTCTATTCATGCTAGTATGGGTCATTTGCTACTCACTACAAGCGAACACATTTATTTTCTATGACTGCCATATAGCTGTTCTTTTCTGCTATTGCTGCAATAAGTTCTTTAAAAATACAATAATGTAGAGGAAGGGTACTGAGAAGGTAAAGTCTTAATCTTAATTTTGTCCTAACCTTTAAAAAGAATTAAATTACTTTGAAAAGAAATGTCGGCAATCATGTACTTACAGCACATTGTACCTAGCAAATGCACATATAAGCAGAATGAATTATCTTCATTGTAATATTCATAGAATCATAGAATCATAGAGTTGGAAGAGACCACAAGGGCCATCGAGTCCAACCCCCTGCCAAGCAGAAAAGATTAGAGCAAGAAAAGATTAAAAAAAAACTATGCACAAAAGAGCTTATCTTTCTACATACTTTCAAGAAAGATGCATCTATAAATATTAAACAAACAGCTGTAACTTTCTCCACTCACACAACCAGTTTTGTAGATTCACTGTTGTGGCTCATATGGAACTTGGTCTTGTAGAAGGAACAGAGGAAGCCGCCCTGGATGAAGTCCATCTGGCTCAGGATCCTCTGCATCCGCTGCAGCAGCCCTCCAGAATTTCACACTCGGGCCTCTTCAAGTCCTACCTGGAGATGCCAGGGAGTGAACCTGGGACCTTCTGTATGCAGAGGAGATGCTCTACCTCTAAGATACGGTCCATCCTAGAAAGCTCTAGTTTGAAGGAGGAAAGTCAAGCTGATTAAGTCAATAAAGCAGCTCCATCTGAAAGCCAATTAATAGCTTGGATAATAAACTAGTAAGGAAGTAGAACTGATCTGCAGAAAACCGTAGAGTGCTTGTTTATACAGGTCATTTGACACCTGTAACCAATTCCAGGTTGTGCAGACTGTGATTGCTGCAAAGAAATTTCCACATTTTAGTCTCAGACAGTAGTGCCACGTCAGAGATTGTTATTCTGCATGGCTACTGACCCAAATGAGATTGACTGGTTTCCTAATCGAAATGTGTTATTGTTTTCAATAAGTAATCTTGCCAATTCATTATTAAGAACAAAAATGATGCAACACCATCAGGAAAATTCCGAAGTGCTAAATGTATCATGACTATATGGTATTTCTTGTAAATTGCTCGTTTTGTTACAATCAAGTGATCTATAAAATTTGTTAAAATGTGTCAGTTTAAAAGAGGGGGAATGGATATGCATTTGTTCTTACAGTGGCTAAAACTCTATTATGATACTCTTAAGAAAGAAGTTTTTTTTAATGAGACCATGATTTAAATGCTTCTTTTTAGCCTTGTTTAATGGGGCAACTTGACCCAATTAAACTACCCCATTAAGCAATTATTTTGAGAACATTTTAAGGGCCGTGAGAAGAAATTTTAGGAATGCATATAATTTTCTCACCATATTAAGATACCCTAATAAGAGAGGTGCAGTAGCCTCAAGATTTGCCTTGTGCGTGTATCTGTGTGATTTTGAAAACTCTGATGTTTCTGGTGCACTTTGTGTTCTCACTTCTTTGATCTGTAATTTGGGTTCCAAAACATTCTAAAGGATATGTAGCTCTGTGTTCCTCTATCATTTTAATGGGGACTCTGACACTAACCTATAACTTCCCTCCTTTGGCCAAAGTGAGTGAAATTTGCAGGTATGGGAACTCTTCCAGAGTGGACTAAATGTTCCCAATTACAACAAATGCAAAGTCTGTAACTGCATTTTCTCACAGAATTAAATCCAGCTGTAGCTACAACTTTCAGAAGGATACCAACTTTCAGAAGAATATCTTACAGCAATTTTCCCTCCAGGGCATCAAGTGACTAAAAAACTGGGAATCACTTAATCTACCCTAGTGTTTTGTGGGCAATTGGTTTGGAATTTGCCCTTGGATCAAACAAACAAACAAACAACCCTGCAAAACTGCAGATAAATAGGTCTAGGGGCTGTGGTGGAGGAAGTAAAATGGAATCACTTTCCTCCTCAATCCATATTAGGGTATGTTTTCACTAGGACAGCTAAAACTCCAAAATCCATATTGTTTCTTACTGCAATGAGTTATATGAAGGGCTGCCTCTGAAGATAGTTTGGAAACTCAAACTGGTGCAGAATTCAATGGCCAGGTTGCTGACTGGGGCAAAACAGTTTGAGCGTATTACACCGATTCTGGCCCAACTGCACTGGCTGCCAATCAGTTTCCAGGCCCAGTTCAAAGTTGGACATTTGTTTTTTATTTGCCGTGTGGTATTTTATTATTTATAAATGATTTAGGAGGACATTCTTGTAGCCGCAATAACAATAAATTCATTTATGAAAAATGGAAGTTCCTATGTAGTCTCAAGACTCCTGAGGACAGAACTTTATAGAGAAGTAGCTAATACTTGTAATAAATAGCAGATGGGAGTAGTGAAATTGTACTACAGGGGTCAGGAATTTTTTTGGGAGGGGGCCGGTTCACCGTCACCCAGACCTAGTGGCGGGCCGGACTGCTTGCGCGGGAGCTCGCACACGGGATGGCGGAGGCTTCTCCCCCCCAGCCCCTCCCCTCCCCCTGCCTACCTCCTCTGCCACTCTGCCTGTGGTTGGGAGCCGGCGGCAGTGGCAGCACCTCTCCTTTATGCACCAAGCTCCAGCCTACAGCGAGGCCAGGAGGAGAGGCCAGCGGGCAGGTGGCGAGGGGCCAAGAGGTGCACCAAGCTCCTGCCCACAGCACAGCCATGGGGAGAGGCTGGCGGGCAGGCGGTGAGGCTTCCTATCAAAGCCCAGCCCTCTTCATCCGCAGGGCAGGGAGAAGCCAGGAAGGGGGGGGAGGAGGGAGGAGACACCGCTGCGGTGAGGGAGGGGGGACATCGCAAAAAAATGGCGCCTGATTTTTTTTTAAAAAAATGGTGATTGCGCCGATCCAAGTGGCGATGGCAGAACCGTTTGCGGGCAAGAGCCAGAGAGCAGTTGGGTCGGATCCGGCCCGTGGGCCTTAGTTTGCTGGCCCCTGTTGTACTGCCTACAGTGTGTGTGTCCGTGTCCCAGCTTCATTAAATTCAAATATATTCTCATTAATGTTTTATCTTTTTGGTCAACTTCTTTACACAGAGACATTTGGCAATATTGTAGTTGTTGTCACAGTTTCTTCAACATGAAAGATAGTGATTTTCTTTGCACACCTCTCTTCAGAATATTGAAGAGACAGCAACACATAGGGAAGGCCATTATTGTTAACGTCAGCCTTCGTATTTTGCCTTGTCTTCTAGCAAGGAACAGGTGTAAGTTGCCATCTCTGAGCATGTTTAAAGAGTAGCTCTGCTTGAATAAAACATTAGCAAGCAGGCAAATGCTCCCAGTCAGTCTGGTTGTAATCTGAATATCAGTTTAAAAGTTGAGCTTTGAGGTTTCATAACCCCCTAAAGCAGTGGCTGAGCGCCTTCTGCAGCACTGTATTAAAAGCCAATGTGAGTCAGAGCCTCACAATTTAAAAGTCTTTCCTTCCTGTCTTCCGTTTGAGAAAGTGCGGGTGAATGGAGTTTGCTGGCATGCACAAAATGCGAAGCAGACATGAAAGGTAGAGCAGTGTGCAAGTGGGGATGGGGGCGGGGCGGGGGGGGGTTATTGAGAGTCTGCTCACACAGCTGAGTCTGCCATCCCAAGCGGCGCTGGACCTGGCCTTGTTTTGCCTCCTGAGAAAGCGGCCTGGCATTCTTTGCCCTTTGCAAAACAGCTACACATTTAATTTCCTGTAATAAGATGAAATGCCGTGCTGCGGAGTCAGCTCCCCTTCTTTATAATATTTTTAAGGGAAATAAATATGAAAGTTGAGAACAAATTTATTGGAAGGAAATCTGTCTTTATTTATATAATATCCTCCCCTTCCGTAGTTTCATTTTCTTTGAAAAAGCTGCCCTTTTTGAAATACCTCCAGGTTTCCATTCAGCGAATTGTTGGATAAGAATTAGTCATTCGTTCATGTTTTTACTTATTAGAAATAGGAACGCCAAACAATGTTTGAATTTACTTTTATCTTAGATTCAGTTCAAACAGCAGGGGTGCTGAATGCATTCCAGCGGGAGGGCCGCCTTCCCTCCTGAGCAATCTCCCAAGGGCCACACGCCCACCTGGTGGGTGGAGCCAGAGGCGGAACTGGGCGGGGCAACAAAAGTCAAGTTTCTCTTTCTGTGGTGGGCTGGCTTTTACACCCCCCTCACTAGCCTCCCTTCAGCCAGCCTGCCAAGATAGTTCTGCCCTTGGTTCCCCTTTCTTGCTGGCAGGAATCCCCTGCGCCAAGCAAGGCCTCTCCCCCATCTGCTATCCCAGGCCTTGTTTTAAAGAGGCGCATTTCCCCTCGGAGCACAGTCTGCCCAGGGATTCCTCTCTGATGGGGGTCAGCAACACCTTTTGTCATGTTAACGCCTCTATGCCAGGTAACTCCCCTCAGTGCTCCAAACATTTGCTAGATCCTGGCATGCATTAATTTATTGGGTGTTTTTTGGGGGGGGTGTCTTTCTCTCCCCCAAACTTATAACAGTATTATAGCCCAGCCATTTATCGGCTCTGCTAGAGCATGTAGCATTTGAATATCATTCTGTGGAAAGGCCTCAGCTTGACTGGGGAAATGGGAGATGGATAGGAAGCTGAGGGAAAATCGGAAAGCCCCCCAGTTTTCCACCTGAGCAGCTGAGAGGAAAAGGGTATCTTCTTCTGTGGAAAAGCAAACAAGTTGAGTACTGTGCCTCATCTGCACCGTGGATTTATAGCGTTACTGTGCCACTTGCCACAGTCATGGTTTCCCTCAAATAATCCTAAGAGGTGTAGTTTGTACAGGATGCTGGGTGTATGTTAGGAAACTCCCTATTCTCCTTACAGAGCTACAGTTTTTAGAACGGTTTAACAATCAGTCCTTCTCCTCAGGGATCTCTGGAAACTGTGACAGTTCTGTGAGGGGAGAAGGGGCTCCCCTGACATTTCTCACCACCCTTAACAAACTAAGCAGTTTGCAACAAAAGTTAAACAATAATAAAATAATAAAAATCACATAAACATGATCAAAACAGATTTAACAGTGTAATATATTGCCACTGGAGCACAAGAAAACAGGAAGGTTTTTGGTGCTGAAACAGTGGCAAGGCTGGTGTTGGGCAGGCCTCCCTGGAGAGAGCATTCTTCTTGTTGCTACACTCTGGACTTATCCTGAAGGCGGCCAGTTCTGAATGTATGTTTGGGGGTGGGCAGAGAGCCAAAAGTCACATGGCTTCACCATAATATTGGTATTTCCCTCCCTGTGGTTAAGTTTCTCAAATGTTTTAACTTCAGGGAACCCTTTCCACATTGACTTGCCCTGAGCAGCCTTCACTAACCTGGTGCTCTCCAGGTGCTGTTGAACTACAACTCCCTTGAACCCCAGCCGGTATAGCCGGTGGTCAGGATGGATGGGAGCTATAGTGCAGCGACATAGAGAGTTGTAGGTTCTCCAGTCCCGCCCCAGCTCTCCACTACAGCTGCATTTTGGAAGGCAATGTAGTAGTGGCAGGCAAGCAGGCGTCAAGAGATGCTTATCTACCAAACCATTTAAAACTAAATAAACAATGAAGGTGTTCATCCTGTCAGAAGAATTCCTTCGCCACTATCCTGTGGTATGACATCAGGGCAGGGACATGTCCTCTCTCTCCATTTTGCACAGAACCTAAAATGCAAAAATGAAATATGTGCTAGGTA